TGACAGTATAGGGATTCAGTGTCACAAGGGGCAGGACAGGTTTCTGGCTAAGTGAGTCAATTGAGCCTTTACTTAACAAGGGTTCAAACTGTACTGACTCACAAATATAAGTTTGTTCTTCAGCAATGTACTCACTCTAATGGGCCATCTAGCAAACAAACCAATGGAGCTATCACTCTTGATCATAGCTATGACTTCCTTTTTGATGAAAAGGAAACTGGAATTCACAAAGTTGAGGTCACCATACCCACAAGACTGAAACTCATAATGGCCTGTTCTTACTCCACCCCATGGTACCAGCCATCCAGGAGGCTGAGGTCTAAAACTTATCACACCGTAGAACTCAGACTTGGAGCACAGCACACTGGGTAGGAAAATAATCTAAAGGAGGTAATACCTGGAGCTTTTTAAAGAAGATTTTAGTGCTTCAGAGAAATAATTAGAGAAGGGGGTGGGGTATCCTAAGTATAGAGACTCAGATGGGGAGTGAAAGGAAAAGTTCATAGGGGCTTCCCAATCCTAAAATCCTCCCCAATCCTGGTGGTTAGGGGACTGTGATATGGTAAATAATGGCCCATGAAAGATATTCAAGTCCTAATCGTGAATTACCAGAAAATTACCTTATATGACAAAAGGGACTTTGGGTCACATAAAGAAAATGGTCCCCACTTGTGAAGGATATGAATTTAACAGAAAAGGCTATCATAGGAGGAGAATTAAATCCTCAGAATTCAAGCTGATACACCTAACCCCAGGAGGACTCTGTCCCAGAGCACTGCATCCCCTAGATCTAGAGGGGCAAAGAAGCATCTGAGTTTATGTTTCCTCATGAGCAAAGACAAGGATTCCAGGACAAGTAGTTTGTGAAAAGTGAAGGAAACATAACAGGAAAGTCAGGAAATGAGACAGGGAAGGACCAGTGATCACTATAACTTAACAGGCAAGCTTCTGGATCCAGTATAAGACATAAGTCTTAAGGCTATCCATCCCAAGCCAAAAGAATCATATGACCCAAAAATGGAGATAGAGGAATGGTCCAAACTGGAGTGTTAGAGCCTGAATAGGGTGAGGAGGGCATTAATAGAGTGGGAGAGATCAGAATGGGAAATTAGAGCCTATGCTGGCCAACTCCAGGGATGGACGTCCTGGAATGAGGAGTCAGGGCCTGGGTAGAGAGGACCTATGTGGGACTGGGTTGCAACCAAGGTAGAAGATTGTTTTCATAATGGGAGAAAGATCAAGTAAGTTATTATTAGGGATAAGAGTCAGGTTTCTCACTGTGTTAAGAGGGAAAAATAATAGAAAGTTATAATCTAGAATGAACCCCATGCTATTGCCTTGGAATTAAAATCATAGATGTGAACTCATGGATTTCAATATAGATATAGATGGTAGATACAGAAATACAGAAATAAGCATGTATACATAAGTATGTATGTATATATGTATGTGTATACATATCTAGACACATTTGCATATACATATTGGTATGCATGCTTATAGATGACTGTATCAAGAAGATATGGTACATATACACATTGGAATATTACTCAGCAATCAAAAAACATAAGCACATGCAGTTTGCAGCAACATGGATGGAGCTGGAAGGGATCATGCTCAGCGAAATAAACCAGAATGAAAAAGAAAAATACCAGATGTTCTCACTTGTAGCAGGAATTTAGAAAACCTAAATAAGGGACCAGGAAAAAGACTAATTAATACAAAGTAAAAATCAAAATCAACAAGCAATTATAAACCAGAGACACACTACGGGGGATGGCGGGGGAGGGGTCAGGAGAAGAAGGATTAGGGTCAGATGGGGTGGTGCAATGGTATGGGCACTATAACCAAAATGAAAATGCATACATTGTGCAAAAATGAAAAATGATGTAAGAATTATATAAAATATTAAAGAATTGTAAAAATAAAAAAATTTCCAAAATTTCAAAGTAAGTTTGCATAAACTGTTTATTAATTATTAATAGGGAAGAAGAAAGCCAAAATTTACAGTTGAGATACTTCACAGACACAATTCAAGTGGTCAAAATATTATCAGTAATGTAAAAATGGAGACTGAACCAAGAGAATTGATAATATAGATCCACACAAGAAAAGGATTTGTAATGGTCAAAAGATGGAAAAGTTCAAAAGTCCATCAAGTGATGAAAAGTTCAAATGTAATAGAATATTACTCAGTCATAAAAACAATGCAGTACTGACACATGTGACAGCTTGGATGAAACTTGAAAACATCCTGCACTGTGAAAGAAGCCAGACATTGGACCACATATTGTATGACTCCATCTATATGAATTGTCCAGAACAGGCAAACACATACAGACAAAAAGCAGATTAGTCTGGGGAAAATAGGAGCTGGAAGAGTAACTGCTGAAGACTATGGGGCTTCTTTTGGAGGTGAAAAAATGTTCTGGAACTAGATAGTGGCACAGAATGCATGATTTTGCAAATATTCTGAAAACAACTGAAAATTGCACATTAAAAATGGACTGTATACCGCGCTTCTGACTGTACCCAATGCTTGTATAAATAAAAAATAAATCTTTTAAAAAAAATTTTAAAAAATTAAAAAATAAATAAAAATGGACTGTATGGTGTGTGGGAAAAAAAAAAGGAGACTGTAAGAACACAGGACATAGCAGCACTTTTGTTACTTTTACAGAAGATCAGTAACCTGAATTTAATGATGAAGAAACATCAGACAACCCAAATCAAGAAACATTCTACAAAAAAAACTGCTTCTAATCTTCAAAAGAGGCAGGGCCATAAAAATCTCAATGAGGAACTATCTAGAATAAAGTTTACAACAAAAATGTGACAAGTAAATGAAGGGAAAATCCGGATGGAATTTATTGCTATAACATACATTTATAGGGACACCTCGCAAAACTTGAATGCAGTCTGAGTATTCCATGGTACAATGTATCAACGCTAATTTTCCAGTGTGGAAGGTTATATTGCGGTTTGGAGAAGAGTGTTATTGTTTATAGGAACTAAAAATTGTTCAGAGGTGGTAAGGCATTATTAGGTCAGAAACAAACTCAGGAAAAGAACAGCCCCTTTGCTCTACTCTCATTTTTTATGCTTGTGTTTTAAATTTAAAGAAAAGAAAATGAAAAAGCAACTGTTCTAAGCAATGGAACTATTTTCCAGAACAAGGTCGAATTCACAGTGTTGCTAAGGCAATAATTTCCCCACCCACAAGAAAAGACTATGAGGTGTGTTCAGTTATTTAATATCAAATGTTTATTGTTTAACTTCCCACTACTGCTAAAATCCATTTCATAATTAGCTCCTCTTAAAAAACACAGTTATTTCACAAAAACTGTATTCTTGAATAATTCACTTTGAAATATCCAGTGCTGCTGATTAGGATGCTTCAGGGCCTAGCCAGGACAGCCTGGCCTGGGGGCCTCTCCGACCCTGGCCCACACACAGAAAGTTGCAGACAACTCAGGGAACACTCTGCAAAGCAAGTCAGCTGAAAACTGAGAACACCATACTTGATTCAAATTACGAATTCAGTACTATACTGTACACATCCAGCATTACACATGCTTAAAATAATGTAAGTATGCATAATGATACATCAGGGCTCAATTTTAATGTAAACTATAAAGACAGCTACGAATTTTAAAACTACTAAAAAAGCCCATTTTACCTAAAGTTTAAAAAGTTACTGTATACACACTGGCTATTCCAGAGGCCTGGGGCATGCAGACAGGAAGTAGAGAAAACATTCCAGCTAATAATAATCATGTGAACAAGTTTTCCAGACAAATCCTATTTGAAGGAAGAATATCTTGAAGGGCCAGGGCCAGTTATCAGCTGAACGGTTTGGAGGAGAGGACTTCGTGCTGATGATCCTTGACATATCTGTGCTTCTTACAGATCCTGGAGGTATAAATGCAGACAGATCCACTGGGTCCCCACGATGACTTCTGGCTATAGGGGCAGGAGCACCTGGTTGCCACTGGCTCAAGGAATCTCTCAGCTCCTGGAATTCCACTGCGGTCTAGATGGCTGCTCCAGGTAGGCTGCATGAATGTAGTTTCACAGCTTTATCTCCAATTGATCATTAGCTCTACCCCCAGAACAATGCTAGACCAGGAAAGATAATTTTGTTTGTTTGTTTGCAATTTTAACATCAACTACAAAAGCAGCCTAACTTATGATGAATAGCACCATGAAAAGATACATAATGGCAAAAAAGAGGACCCTCAAGGAAGTTGATGCTGATGGAGGCATATATTGCTGATGGTACATATACACAGTACCATCATTCTACCACTACTGTGTCAACACAGTAAACCATTTAACTGGGTTAGAAAAATAAGATGTCTTTCTGGAGCAAAAGTAAGAATACATATTGCTGAGCAGCAGAGGGGGAAATGTGGACATACTCCTACTCAGACTGCCTGTCAAATAGACATGCAGAAGTATTTTAAGGTCAGATGAAGCATCTAAACTCTAGATGGTGTAACATCTCAGATATAAAATAGCTATGGTTTGGAAGCATCCCCCTCTACTGTCTGATGAAAATAGGAATGCTCATCCTATAAGAAGAGGTAGTCTGGTTGTGAAATACAGACAGATGCTGGCCCTTGACTGACCATTTGCTTTGCAGATTCAGTATCCTTGGCATCTTTTATAAATTTTATAGATGTGTTTGTTTTTCTGGCTGGTGCATTGCTAGAAGCAGATGTGAAGACAAGGATTCCATCCCAGGGAGGTCTATTTGTTGAGCACACACAAGCTGGGCTTTCTCTAAAGCTAACTGCAAAAGGGTGTTTGTTTTGAGAGAGCTCAACAGTACTGAGGCAGTGTGTTAAAATCCCTACTGACAGATAGTCACTGGTCCAAAGTGAACAAAACACCAGCAAAAGATGTATGTAGTCAAATCAAGTGAGCCTCTCTGTGCTCTGGGAAACGAAGAAATCTCATACTTCAAGTGGGGGTGAGTGCAAACGGGCCAATGTATGTCATGCGTGAATGCCAGAGAGTTCCAAGTTATGGGTCACACCTGTAACAAAAATTAGCATAAACTCTTTAAAAACTCTCCATGTGCCAACTCCCTTCAACAAGCTTACCCCTTTCTTCTGCCTCTTGTGAACAGACATGCACACACCATCCAGACTTTTCTTTGTGCTTTGAGAACCAGCACCAGTTCTACACTTTCTGTGAAGTTTTAACCAGATCACTCTCCACTCCTATAACAGATATCATCTAAACTCCAGACTAGCATGTGACCCTACCTTCCGTGCAAACCTGGCATCTCTTCCAATGACTTTACAAAATTAAGACAAGGACTATCTTCATTATCCTCCTCTACCCAACACCCATTACTCAGTACAGTGCTATTCATGTGACAAGTTTGACTTAGATGGACTATTTATTCATTTATTTAATAAGCATTTACTGAGCATCTGCTGTGTGCTAAGCTTGTGAAGTCATCTGTCTGGGGACCCAGCCACAGAAATTTTTTGAAGCCTCCTTTATAAAGGTACTGAGTCATTATCATCTTGGAATTGTGTGCATAATGCTTTCAGAATAAAAAAGAAAACCCTGCCAACCCCCAAGAAGCTTACACAGCTTATGCTCTGACCATTTTCACAGCTCTTTATATCTAATTGCAAGATCTATGCATTGCTGAAAGGTAGAGGAAGAATCTGCCCACCTCTCTGCCCAGCTGTAGGTAGAGTGGACATGCCTAACACTGTAGAGCAAAAGTTCAGCCTTGCATTTGTCTGCTTTTGTGCTTCTGAAGCCTTGAGAGCAGGCTTGTCAAGGAGAACTGGGCACAGCTCAGGGACAAGGGAGAGTTATTGTCCCCTGCAAATAGCCCCAAGCCAGTGGGTACTGGAGCCAGTGGATAAAAGTCCCACAGCATCCTACAGAAGAACAATTCTAGGAGACATTGCAACATTTCTCAGAGGTCTTGTGGCCTCTAGCTAAAACCGCACCAATGCAATCTTCACTTACTTTTCCCCCTACTAATGCAATCTTCATTTGTTTTCCTCCTTGCCTGCTCCCTCACCTCATCTCCCTGGAGACATCTTTCTGACACATTACTTACACCAAGTTTCTGCACCAGGGTTTGCTTTCAGGGATAAAAGCTAAGGCAGAACACATTATTATGAGCACAGGGATTGGGAGAAATGATTCCTTTTAATAACAAAGTAGTGAAACACAAGCTCTGTTATTGGCAAAGCTATGGGAGCACCTCTCCAGGGGAATCCAAGCAGTCACTCAATACCCTGGGCATCACTTTTGCTAAAAAAGGAGGAGATGAACTAAAGGAGCATTTATCATAGTTCCCTCCTCAGCTGTAACACCACGACAATAGATGCTCCATTTGTCCCTTTCAGATAGACCTTCGCCAACTGAGTGGCAGCAAAAATGCAGTAGGTCTGTCTCATTGAGTATCTCACATCATTACTATCTTAAAGTCAAAATGACTAATGAATTTTCCAAATGGATCCTTCAAACTTTTGGGATGCTCTAAACTTGATGATGCTAAAATTGTCAACACTTACCCTCAATGGAAAAGATCAAAGTCCCACCTAACTGGCCTCCTGTAACCATTCCATTTCTCTGAACTTGTACATTCTTTTAATCAAAATAGTAGTATCTTCACAGATTTTTCTTTCCCGTGGTAACACCACATTCTTCTTCCAAAACCTGTTAAAAATCTCCACATATCGGGCCTCCCCGGTGGCGCAGCGGTTGAGCGCTGGGTTGCGAAGCTGCCCGCAGCCTGTGCAGCGCCAGTTCGATCCCCGGCTGCTCCCCGGCCAGCGGAGGAGGATCCCACAAGGCACGCAGACCTCTCCTGCCGCCCGCTGCTCCCCTCAGCAGTGTACTTCGGTCCTTCTGCCTGCTCTGCTCCCCGCTCTGGCTCTGGTGAATTCTCTCACCCTCCCGCATTTCTGACTGTACCCAGTGCTTGTATAAATAAATAAATAAATCTTTAAAAAAAAAAAAAAAATTAAAAAAAAAAAAAATCTCCACATATCTATGTACCTTTCACAGTGCGTCACTCACCAATTTGCACTCAATTGATATTCAATAAATATTGTCAATATTCATAAATGCTCATCAGATGACAATGAACTTTTTAACAAGGAAGTCTTAGACTCATCCCAGTTTTTGAAATGTCAGTTGTAAAACTGCCTTGATACAAAGTAGAATATGAACTTTTTGTCTGTTTATTTTTAATAGTAGTTTATAAAGCTATTATTTTCAACGTACTAGGGAGAATATACATTTAGTTAAAGTGAAAATTCAGATTGTCACAGAAAATATAAAAATTAGACATTTGAGACCTATTTCTCTTCCTTTAAAATCAAACAGTAAAATTTGGTGCCCTTCCCTGCCCTGATACCCAAACGGAGCAGTACCTGTCCCTCCAGGTTTTTTAGCAGTGGGCATTGCTGCCATGAACATGTATTCACTATTTGGGTCATGCACACTGGATTGGCGCTTCTGGAAAAAAAGTCAGAAATATAGAGAAACATGGTTCATCATCAGCTCTGTCCCATTCTCACCCCCACTTTGTTTGATTGTTCTGTTACGTTGTCATAGTTCTTATATACAATTTTCTCTTCTTTGTTAAAACAGTATGTCACAGGATCATGATGTGACTTAGGGTCCTGACTTTAGGCTAAAAAGGAGAATAATATGAAAGGGTTGTTTTGTTGTTGTTGTTGTTGTTTTTTAAAAAAAGAGGGTTTTCTGCTGAACTTTCTTATTTTTGCCTTTCTTGTTTCTTCTCCAGTGGAATTAAATTGTGAGTCCTATCTCACTCTCTTCCATCTTTACCTCTGTTTTCAAACTCCTTTCTGGTACAAATAAACACACTGGCCAATGATCACATGATGGGTATACTTTAGTATTAGCATACAGAGAATGTTTGACTAAGAACCAGGATTATGAAAGAGTAAAAATATATCCCCTGCACAGAGATTTTTGTTATTATTGTGGTTGTTTTATCTGTTTTGCGTAGCTTTTCAGTGGTTTTCTGTAAAAGGAACGAGTCATCATACCATGAAAGGAAGTTGACCAATTCCTTCCCAGCTACCACTGGCACCTTATAAAACTGATGTTTGACCAACTGAGTGAAATTTGCTCTGACTTAGGAAACTTAGAATCAAATTTGCAGCTCATGTTTAATCATTTTTTTTCCTTGGGCCTTATTTCCTTGTCTTTTTAAAATAATAATAACATATTTCTCTGTAAACCATCAAATTATTTTTAGAATGGAGGAGCTTTAAAATAAATATCCTCCAGTTCCAAGTTAGCAGTTTAATTAACAGGTGTAACTTGAGGAGAAGAAATTGTCTATCTGTTGATCAAATTACTCTGTCAAGAGCAAAATGTACCTTGATGAGTAAATAACCACTGATGTTCCCAGTAAAGCAAGAGTAAGAAAAGACAGACATAGCTCACCTTTTTTATCAGCCAACAAACAAATACACATGTAAAAATGTAGATGAGGATAAGACCAATAAATCCAATGGGTAACCAGAATTTCAGTTGGCAACAAAGCTTAGATTCTGGATTGAAAAAAAGGATATGTTAAGGAAAAACTCTGAGAATCAAATCTCCTTTCAGTGTTGAATCACAAATTCTTTGACCTAATTTAGGAGTGATTTAATCAAATGAAACATTTATTATACTCATGAAATCCAGTAAATGGTAATAAATAACATCAACTTAGTATCATACCAAAGATTCAAAATCTAAAACCTAAAAGATTCACACCCATGTATGTTTACACAGGTGGGTAATATAAAGTCCTCTTCTGACTATTTTATTTGCAAAAGAGTAGAAAAGTAATTGTAGAAAACTGTCATTTTTAATTAAACCACTTCATCCCATAAGCTCCCCACTAAACCAAAACCTTAAATTTCAGGCAAATAGAAGCAACAGCCATTAGCCATAGGTTGGGTAGTAATCATTTTCCCTGATTTTTAAAGGCATGGCCTGTCTCTTACTCCACAGTTAAGATTAATAAGTTGCGCAATACTTCTTAACACTAGTTATTATGATTAACAATAACCAATCATCCTTGCATATTTTATTATAAACAATTGGCATCAATTGCTCATAAAAGAACTCTAATGCAAAAGACATTTCTCTGTTTCATTATTTTCATAGCAAGAAAAGTTGTCAAAATGCAGATATGCTCTTAAATTCGGAAGATGAAAATGTCTTACCATAAATATGCAAATATTCTTTACTTAGAATTTTGATTTGAAAAGGAGGAGGATCAAAAATCTGTAGTTTGCAGAGGTAATAGCTGGCATAGGAACTGTCCAAGTTTTGTAGAAAAAAGGAAACACTGCTGTTGGATAACTGAGATATACAGAATGTTATATTCTTCGTGAACACTGTGTTTCCACTTCCCTCTGTTTTAGTGAGCTCACAGAGTACTTGGTTCCCTTTCAGCAACTGCATCTTAAATTGCCAGATAGTCGTAGGGTATCTGCATAAGATCTGTACACCTCCATTGTGAATGGTAAACATCTCTGACTTGGCAGAATCATTGACTTCTCCTGAATAAAAGAAAGAAAATAAAGCAAAGCTGACTTTTTGGAATATGTTGCCCTAATAATTACATTTGAACATAAAAGTAGTCTCTTTTCATCATAAAATCACTTCCTTTGCATAAAAATAAAAGAACTTCAAAGGCAAAAAGAATTTAATGGTAAAACTGTCCTAGAAAAAAAAATCTACCCTGAATTGCTTGTCATATATGAAGATATAGTATATAATATATTAAATAATATATTTGCATAGGATTATTCAAACAGATATGCTTCCTGTCCTTTGGTGGATTTCATATTGAAGATGGAAGGAAAACAAATAAATATGTAATAGTGCACCATAATTTATGCTAGGAATGGAGTGTTATTCAAATAAAGGTGTAGGGTTGGATTCAATTTTGATTGGAAAATCAGAAAATTCCACTTTGAGGACATGACTTTTAAAATTGAAAATGAAAGAAAAATATCACTTAACCAAACAAGGAGAGATTGGGTGGCAAGGGGAATGTGGTTTAAGAAAAAAAAAATTCTTTGAAGTACAAAATAGCTTCAAGTAAAAATGAATAATTATATATAAATATAAATTTACATTATAACTTCCTTCCTACTAAAGAGTAAAAGAAGAGATGAATCATTTCAAATGACAGAAATGTATTCTCTCCCCCAACCTAATCCATTGAGAACTGAATCAAGGTCTAATGATAAAATAAGCAAAAATTTGGGACCTTATTTTTTTCACTTTTTTAATCAATGTTAAGTGTATACAGGAAGGCTACGTTCTTTTTGTGAGTCACAAAAGTATCACAGAAGAAAGAAACAATGGTTTTAGTCTGATTGCAGTTCTGAATTATTAGATTATAAACTCAAACTAGTCTTTATCTTTCTTTTACCTTTTTTTTTTTTAATTTGACAAAGTTTCATTCTGAAATTGTTTGGAAAAAATTACTAGCATGTCAGTTTTTAAGTTTTGAAATCTCTATTCTTGAGAAATCTACTTGATAAGTATAAAGAATGTTTTTAGGGGAAAAGTGATCTAGTTCTCCAGTGAAATATAAATTCCATTTATGTTGTCAAAGTCATTAAAGGAGATTCCTTGAAAAATTAATAACAGAAATTCCATACAACCCAGGTATTCCCATTTGGGGGTACATACACAAAATACACAAAAACGCTAGTTTAAGGACATATATTCACCCCCTGTGTTTATTGCAGCATTATTCATGATAGCCAGCAGCTGGAAATAACCTGTGCCCATCAACAGATGATTGGATAAAGAAAAATGTGGTATATATACACAAGGAATTGTGTATTGTGTACACAGATATTAAAAAAAATGAATTCTTGCCATTTTACAACAACATGATGTACTAAAGGGTATCATGCTTAGTGAAATAAGATAGAGGGAGAAAGACAAACACTGTTTTATTTCACTCATATGTGGTAAATAGAGAAAACAAACAAATGAACTTCTAAATAAAATAAAAATAAACTTTAAGATTATATTAGTGTTTATCAGAAAGGAAGGCTGAATAGGAGGGAGTCAATCAGATGAAAGGCAGAAAGGGAAGAACTGGACTTTTAGTGGTGAAGTTACTGTAGTGTATAGACATGTTGATTTTTAATAATGTACATCTGAAACATCTAATATCTTAATGCAATGTTACCTCAACTTAAAAAAAAATACCATTTGTGTGTTTTTATTTATCTTCTAGTAGTTGTTCTATATAGCAAATATACTTTGTATTCTGCTATTATCACATTCTACATTTAACAGTCATCATAATTATCCTCTTAAGTGACTTTATAATGTAACTATCTGAAAATGCTAAAGTATTTCACTAATGTTGGACACGGGTTATTTTTATCATTCAGTTTTATGTAAGTATTAAAACATTTGGTCAAAATGATCATGTTATCAGAAACACTAAGTATTGCCAGATTACTTTCTGAAAAAACTACTCCAATTTATAATAGGACTAGCATTATGCAGGAGGATTCATTTGGCATGACTTTGCTTGCACTAGTTTCTTTATCATATTTACTTATTTTTCTTAATATCTCTGCTTTAATTCATTTTTCTAGGGAATAGATTTTAATACACAATTCTTTTGGTTTTCACTTATAGCAGTCCAGATTAATCACACTAATTTCCACACCAAAATTACTGAACAAAATGTCTAAAAATATTACTGATGTGATTAAAGAATTGACAAAAAAAGGAGAAATTACTAGGATAAATGTGAACTAGAACCCAGAGATATGAGCAGAGCCTGGTAGTTGTTTTTACTCTGATAACTATTCTCCTAAATTCATACTTTTGTTTAAAAAGTCTGCATGCAAAATGAGTCTACAAAGTGAAAACTCTAAAAGAAATATACAGAGACAATTTCACAATGTGACCCTCTCTTTTTTTTTTTTTTTTTTGGTGGGACCCTCGCCGGTGGCCAGGGAATGAACCGGTGCTGCAGAGGCTGTGGGCAGCCTCGCAGCCCAGTGCTCAACCACTGCGCCACCAGGGGAGGCCAGTGACCCTCTCTTCAATAGGTTGGTTTTCCGAAAGTTACATCGTTGAAGTATAGGTAAGACAGGAGTAAAACAACCCTCAGGCAAATTGCAGTTTACAATGTTTAAGGAAATGAAAATAAATGTGTGGTATAGCTTAACACTTGATAAGTGAAGTATGTATGTTGTAATTTCTGACATAATTAAAAGAATAAAAACAAAATATACAACCTAAATGAATACCACAAATTTTGGCATAATGGTTTTATACAAATGGGAAGAAAAGTTGGAATTATAAAGGAAAACACAGGGTAGAGAGGTTTCTGTGTTCTGACAATGTTTAATTGTTAACCTGTGGGGATTATGTGAATGAGATAGTATTCATTATTCATTAAATAATATACTTATGTTTATTTACTTTTCTGTGTAGAAGTTTTGTTCTAGAGTCAAAACATTTTAAAAGTATATGGAAGGAAAACACTGTTTGTTTCATTTTTAAAATAGAGGAAACAGGCAGCTCTCCCGCCTTCCTGTTTCTTAGATGCCTCTCTTTTTCTTCTTTTCCTAATAAACTTGTCCTTTTAAAATGTAAAATATAAAATAAAATAAAAATAGAGGGAACAACACAAGCCAAGGCAAAGGGAAAAGAATTGATAGCATGAGAATGGATGCAGTTTGCATTAGATTAAAATGAAATTTGTTTAGGGACTTATTTGTCTGAGTAAATCATGGTATACTACTATTGTTTTGATGTTTTTGTCTTTACTGTCTGCTGCAGAAGATAAAATCAGTGAGCTGGCTCTCAGTTCCTTTAGAAATGTTTAAGGCAAATTTCCGAAGGACTTTAGAGTGGAAGTAAGTAAGCCTCAAGGATCTTGGAGCAAAAGTGTTTGCAACCACAGTATATACACACCAACAGAGATGCATAGCCTTCTAATTTTGAGTGATTTTGTCAGCAAATTTGCTCCCCTTTTGTGCCTCCACTATGTCCCATAACACAACACAAGATGAAATGTAATAGTGAGAGGTGCAGGGTGGTAGAAGAACAATTCAGTGGTTTCCAAGGAATCAAAAGGCAAAATCTGGCTCTGACTATGGCACCTCTCTGAACTTCATTCCCCTCATCTGTGAGACAAGGAAGTGAGACCAAAATATCTTAAAGTTCTTTCCAACAACTATTCTTTATGGATCCAGGATCAGAATACTTCCAAATGAGTCTCCAAACAACTGAGAGAACTATTTGTTGTTGAATCCTCCAGAGAAGAAACCATGTTTCCATAATCCTTTCTCTATCCCAGGATTTTACTGGGCTGTTCTATAGAGTCAGGAGATGAGAATCAATGAAAATGTTTTCATTGTACATTTTGGTAGGGTTGGAAGGACTGAGATTTTCTTGAGTGAGAGTGCCAAGAGCATGTGCTACTGAAATTATCACAGTAACTGCAGATTCTAAAGTGTCATTTATATTGGACACACTTTTTTACTTTATACTTTCAATCAAAAATTGCATAGGTCACCTTTTCATTGTTGAATTAGTGATAAGAAGCATGATTTAAGTTTCCAAATATCCAGTGCTTAAGCTATCTATCTAGAAAGTCACTTGGTAACTCTGAGTTGCAATTCACATGCTTTCAACTAAAGGAATCAGGTATGACATTTAATCAATTGTTTCATAATTACTTTGTCACTTATTGAACAGATATGTTCAAATACCTAATCACAAATTCTTCTGTAGCCTTTGGTGACATTTGAAAAATAGTATCAAGAGGAGATCACCCTTATAACTCTAACACATTTAATGGATTGGCAGACAATTTAAGGAAAATCTGAATACATTAGTTTCTTATTACTGTAGAAGCAGCTAAAATCTTTTCCCCAATCTCACTGGGTGTTTTTATCTCCAAGTCTAATATTCTACCAGAAATGCTAGTATGGCAGTACCACTTTTTAAAGTCAATGTCTGTTTTGATTTTTTGGATCTCAAATCTATTTCATCAGTCCCTCTGCCATACCAGTAGTTTAAAATTATGAGTGTCCAACCTCACCAATTTCTGTCTTCTTGATTTCCTTTCTCTCAAGCTTAAATATTCTTCATATACCACCTCTTAGTATAAAATCATCCTCCAAAATACCATCTTTCACACAATCTTCAATGTTCCTTAGTCCAACAAGCCTTTTCCATCTTTAATACCTATAAATAGTCATATATACCATCGGCCCATGTTTCAGACACCCATAAATAATCCCATTTTCATATTTCCATTTCCTATAATATGAGTTATAGGAATGATTCACCCTTTTCCCAGCACCGTACACAGTCATATCTGGTGAACTTAAAAATCAACATAACAAATTCAGTTCTTTTATATGCCAACAACTTACAACCCAGACAGAGCAAATTTTTAATCTAAGGTCACACAACTTCTTGGGTACATGGAAGATTTATATATAAGATTGACATGAAATAGTTAGAGCTCAACCTAAGGTTGATGTCACACTAGTAACAACCAAGGGAAGTCTAATGAAAACAAGTAACCACATGTGAAGCTAATCAGTGGTCACTATAGACTGGTTCACAGGATCATTGCTAGAATCTATCTACAGGAAGAAGCTCTAATTTCCTGTACCTGTTTTATATCTAGCAGGATCTATTCAACTGCTCTACCATTTAAACAACTGCCCCAAACCAGCCTCAACACTCTAAGACTACGATAACTTTCTATATTTCTGTTCTCACTCTTTCCCAATTACCATCCATTCTTCTCAGGGAAGTCAGAATGATCTTCTAACATGTATGGCCAGAGAGTATCATTGCCTGCTTCTAAAATACCCAAGGTGTTCCCACTGCATTTAAATTAAAATGTAACTCCCCACCTTGGTTTCCCATAACCTGTAGATCTAATTGCCTCTCCGCCATCCACTCACTACACTGCAGTCACACTGCCCTATTTCTCAGACATCAGAAGTTGGTCCCCTTTGAGTTTGTTGTTTCTCTGCCAAGAATGTTCTCTGATCTTCACATGGCTCTTTCTTGCTTCTTTAGTGACAATTGACCACTCAATCCAAAATATACCCCAAGTCATTTTCTATCATACTACTTAAAATAATGTATCATTTTTCTGAAATTATTTGGTTTATTTGTTTCCTTGTTTATTTTCTGGCTATCTCACTGTAACATAAACTTTAAAATTAGGGATCTTGGTGATCTCATTCCCCAATCCATCTCAGTAGCTACATACATCAAGTGCTACATATCAGTAGCACTTGATATGTGTTAAGACACTAGTATTTCTTTGATGGATGGATGGATGAATAAATAGATCTCAGTGATGTTCTAAATTTGGGGAGAGACAGCATAGAATATAAACTATAAGAATGAAAAAGGGTTCTTAGAAATGATCCAATTAGGCTTTTTGTTTTACTTTTATCAAGTTAAGTTGGGACCACAAAAATTAGTGTCTTGTCCAAGGTTACATAGTTCATAACTGGGACATGACTTTAGGGTTTGCTATACCATTGCCAAACAGGTACATAGAAATAGTCATGCATAAGAGGCATGTCTCCAACAGGGAGATCAGATTCTAATGAAAATTATCTTTCTGAACTTCAAACAGAAGTTTCTTTACTCACACCAGGTTCATTAATGACTATTGATTCTATTATTATTATTATTATTATTATTATCTCTATAAAGAGCAGGACAGGTTTAAACTTGGTTGATTATTTGGATCCCTCAGAGTGTATGTTAAATTTGCTCAACATACAGCCAGGACAGAGACCCCGGACCAATGATTGTTCTAATATATCCAGATGTCTCATGACTACATGTTGGTGATTTGTGATATAAACAAATGCTACCTTTTAGCTTTTAAAACATTGTTAAAATCATAAATAGGACAATATTCTCTTAAATTCTGGTGATCAGTCTAAAAATCCAAATATTCAGTATAAGTTCCTGTTTTGCTATTATATCTGTTTGTTTCTTGTTGGTACTTCTTGGTTATAGGTACTCTACAAATAGGTACTGTATCTTTTAATTACATTGATTACCACATCTAAAAAGTAGTCTTCCCAATAAAGGCTCAAACTTTTAGCTGCTTCTAACTTTGATTTTTATAGTGTTAGTGTTGATTGAACAGATTGAAGACAAATGTTTTTAAGAGTTAATGAAGAATATTTACATTAGGTGTTTTCTCTTTATTTTCAAATTGTCTTAAAAATAAGTACTTTTACATCTACATTTGTAGGAATTGTTAAGAAAAATCACTGCAGAAAAGGTCACTCATCTGAGAATTGTTCAATGGCTCAGAAGAGCTTATTTGTTAGTTGATTCTTTAAATATTTGGGATGTTTTATTTTGTTAGTATAAGCTGATCTTAATAGAACCCTTTCAGCCAGGACTATTGTAAGCAACTGTATTACTCTGGGCTGAAAATCTTTTGCCAAAAACATTTAGCAAACCCACACAGCACAGCGAGTGTGAGACAAATCAGCAATTTTAATTTGTCATCCTTAACTCAGACTTCTAACCACAAACCTCCACAAAGGTACCAGAGTGTTAGAAAAAAAGAGATCTTCCGTATTTGCAAATATTAATGGTGCTTATTAAACACATTTTCTGTAATCAAACAATAATAAGTTTTATTTTAGAACAGCACATAAATGTGGCATAATAGGTGAATTTCTAAAAATTGCAATGTTATATTAAGTTTTGTTGTATTTTTTTCTTTTACTAAGAAATTCTGGCATTTTAAAAATGTGGGTTTTTTAACCTTTCATAAAAGTATTGTCATTTCTTTTTTTTTAAAGATTTATTTTTATTTATTTATTTATACAAGCACCAAGTACAGTCAGAAGCACGGGAGGGTAAGAGAATTCACCAGAGCCAGAGCGGGGAACAGAACAGGCAGACTGACAAAATACACTGCTGAGGGGAACAGCAGGTGCTGCAGGAGAGGTGATCCAACCGGTGCTGCAGCAGCTGCGGGCAGCTTCGCAGCCCAGCGTTCAACCGCTGCCCCACCAGGGGAGGCCCAAGTATTGTCATTTCTTATGAGTTTACTAGTTAATCTTTTAGAATCCTGATTAGTAGATTTCTATATATGCATCCTTTCTTTAAAATATTTTTTATAAGGAATTGTCTTTTTTTTTAAAGATTTATTTATTCATTTTACACAAGAACCGGGGTACAGCCAGATGCATGGGAGGGTGAGAGGATTCACCAGAGACAGAGTGGGGAACAGAACAGGCAGACTGACGAAATACACAGCTGAGAGGAGCAGCGGGCAAGATAGGAGAGGTCTGCGGCGCCTTGTGCGACCTTCGCCAGCCAGCCAGGATCAACCCTGCTGCAGGGCTGCAGACAGCTTCACAGCATTGCGCTCAACCGCCTGCGGCACCAGGGGAGGCTCTATATATGAGTCCTTTTATACTTAAAGTACAATTTAAAGGCATCCATAATGTAAAGAAGTAATTGAAGACAATAGAGCAGGTAGGCAAAATAAGCCAAAGCCAATCTAAATTATTAATATTTGCAGTAAAGAAATCAAAAAAAAAGTTAATGGGAAAGTTGAGTACAATACACACACACACACACACACAAACACAATGTGTGAATTGTTTTTAACTCTCCAATAAATTCTGTAGGGGGCATAAAACAAACTTTGACCCTCTAAGTGTGTATAGTAAGAAAAATTAATGCTTGATTTTCCTCTAGAAAAAAAAAACTGATTTTCTAATTGAAAACGGAAAATTCCCAGTGTTATAAAACTTTGTAGCAGAATTCACAAAGCAGTTCATTGGCAAACAATTTACTGGGTTAGTTATTTCATTGTCACCGATTTGAAATTGCCCTACTAGGGAATCATATGAGATTAAATAAACCCAACTCTCTTCTGCAAGAGGGAGGGAGAGAATGAGCACCACATTCCTCCATCCTTCAACTGCCATGCAAAGTCCTTTGAGCACATAGCTTGGTGTTCACTTGGTGACCTTGTTAACATTTAAGTCTCCAGTTCTCACTCTATTCCAGTAACCCACACCCCTATCTCCATCTTATTCATCCCCTCAGCTCCGATCCTTTATTTCAAATTTCCTTTCACCAGTGTTGTCTGGATATCCCCTGACATCCAGAGTAACATTTCCAAAGTGAATGCAATATTGACTTACCAAACCCAACCTGCTCCATTAAGGGAGTCAGAGTTTGAGCCTTGGGATCTCAGTCTTCCTTATTCCTCCCTCTTTCTGACTCTGATCCAATTGGCCACTAAGTCTAGTTGACTCTAGTTCATGGATAGCTCTTAAATTCATTTGCTTTTCTCCACTCCCTTGGCCAATCCAGGACCTTTTCATGTCTTCCCTCATCTGTGAAAGCATTTTCTACACTGGCCTCCAAGACCAGTCTTTAGCCTCTGAGTTCATCCCTTATGCTGCTCCCCAAATTATGTTTTTAAATAGTATATCACTTCCCAACTTTAAATTTTGTACTGTTGCTTATGAGGTCAAAAGAATCATTTTTCTTAGTATGACACAAAATCCTCTCACAATCTTATGGACCACACATAGTTCAAGCTATGCTGAACATTCTAGTCATTCATTTCACACTGTTGCTTCTGTTCCCATAGACTAGAATATGCTATTACCCCCTTTATCTAGCTAAAAATCCCGTCACTCTGAAGAACCATTTTAAATTGATCAGACAGATTCCTATCTCTATACTCCCAATAACACTTTGTTTATATCAATGTATTGATTATGCATATAGGCTTAGATCACAATTATTTTGCATACTTTTCATTTAACTATGAACTTCATAAGAATAAAGGCTGCATCATGGCCACTTAAATAATACCAGGACCTGAAATATAAGTTCAATAAGATAGGTAAATGAATAGGAAATACAAAAGCTGGAAGAATATGGAGGTTGAAGATGGTTGGTAAATATCCTGCAATGGAATGAGAATAGGAGTAATGAAAGCAGAGCAAACAATCCTATTTACTAGATATTGGAGAATCCTTGTTTCTTAAAGGCAAAACTCAAATTGAGTGATGTCCAGTCAATTCTCTGAAGCCAAAGTATAGAAGTTCGTAAATACCTAATGTAAAGGGCCAGGACTGACCACAGTGCAGGTTTTCTGATCCCATGCAGACCGGGTAAAGGAGGAGTCAGAGTCCTCAGTAGTTTTGCAGGTTTTTTATTTGGGGTTCACCAGGCATATGGCAGGCAGGGGTGCTGGCTGGGGGGGCTGGGAGGCTGGCATGCCTCCCAGCCCCCAGCAAGTCTTCACTCTATCTGGGCTCTCTGGCGTTCTCTGCTTCTGCTTCGGCTTCTCCTTCAGGTTCTGCTGCTGCTGGCTGGGGCTGCTGGCGTCCCCCCCGTGACGCTGCCCTTAAAAGCACAGTCTTAGCTCAGCTGAATCCCATCTACCTATGCCCACACCCTACTCCAGGTGCCCGCCATCAGGCATGCATTCAGGACAAGGATCCATCATCTATCCTGATGGCGGAAGGGCAGAAAAGCCTGATATTTTCTTTACCCTACAGTCCACCCCCTCAGGGTTTTCTGCCACACAGTCTATACATACATATACAATTTTCTAAGCAAACAAACAATGCAGCCATGGCCCACAAAAGCAAATACATCAAATAACAAAATACAACATAACAAAATACAACAGAACACAAATAAGTCCAGGCAGGGCACCAACCAAGTGCAAAAGACAATTATTGGTACCAGCAGATGAGCCACCAAATCTGCTGCCGAAGGCACTGCTCTACGAGGGAGGGGAAATCACACACGGCATCTGCTATAACACACCAGGAGCCGTCAGGCTTCCTGGCCTTCTCTGGCTGTAGTCTCGGCTACAAGGCACACACAGCATCCACCCCCAGGATGCACTAGCTCTGGGATTGGCAATT